ATAAATAGCCACACAACCACTATTCAATGCAACTATCTGCAATCAGCACATAAATGTATCTTTATATCGACTGTCCCGTCACATCTGATGTCAGATCAAAGGGGATTGGCACTGTTTGGCACACGTAATGGAAACCCAACCTGATTTGATTAACACAGCTGCAAACTAATGAGTTCACATCCCTCTCAGCCAACCGCAAACAGCCACAGCATCAGATAGGGAGTATATATTCAGCATCTGTCATCTTAGAAAAGTCAAAAGAAAAGAAACCGAGTGAGACTGCGAGAGAGAAAGAGAGAGCGCGCGCGCACGAGAGAAACGCAACATTGAGCACGTTCACATGCGCGCAATAATCAGATAACTGGGAATACTCAGGTAATGGTAATAATAAACCTGGTTTACATGATTCAGTCCTTCAGTACATGACATAAAACTCAAACTTCCTGTTACAGTAGGTACTCATATCCTTGAAAAACCTCGAAAAGTACTCAAATCATGTATTTGCAGGATAAAGCACTCATCATGCTGACATCTTATATTCTTACACTAATGTTTGTTTTTATCATTAACAAATACATGTGAGAGCATTCTAATGTGTAGTTTATCAATGTGCCAATTTTACATACTTTGGGTAGATTCGTAGTAAAAGTACTGCAAAGTGCAATATACAAGTGTATTGTATATAAACTTGTCACACAAAGTGCATAACATATAAGTAAGATAAAATAAAAGTGACAATTTAAACACTGAGAATATAAAAATATATTATTTTATGTGAAATCTTTATCTGAAAGGAAACAAAAGCTGTCAGATTAACGTAGTGGAGTAGAAAGTACAATAATTCCCTCTAAAATGTAGTGGAGTGGGAGTACAAAATAGCAAAACCCGAAAGAAACCAGATTAAAGAGTATACATGCACCGAATGATCTGACTATTGGGGAAAAAGCTAGGTGTGTTTATCTGATTTCTCATAATCAGATAATGGCTTTAATCTGATAAAGCCTATCGGATTATGCTGTTTACATGACCACTTGAATAATCAGGTAACTCCAGAAATCAGATAATGATTGGTTTATTAGTGTGCATGTAACCGCGCTCAGTGATTTACAATTGTGGTGACCTCCTCCCAGGCTACCTTTGCATCATCAGCCCGTTGAGGTCTGCTCGCAGTTCCATATATTCGGACACTGCAAGCTTGGCCCTCCCGGACCAAAACATCACTTTCCTCCTGGGAGAAGTTTGGCCACCTGATGCTGCTGCTCTCTTCTGCCATGGCGAATTGAGTAAACTCTCATTACGCCTTTGCGCGGCGCATTTAAGGGCAAGGAGAGGGGCTCATTTGATTGGCGTGATGTGTGTAAGACCCACTCCACGCCTTCTCTCCTCCCTCTTTCCGACTTGCGCAGGTAGGAGGGACGCAGGTGGGAAAGAGGAGTAGCTGCGCCAGGCGCACGGTGTGCCAAACTTGCAAAATCCGCCTGGCCACACCCAGTCAGCAAAGCGCAGGTGTGCTGCACCCCCGCCTCGCCCGGCCTGCGAAACTAGAGCCCTATATCTCTACAGAGAAAGAAAAGAGATGTTGCGAAAAAATACAAGTGATCTCACATTTATGACGTTTGGTTTGTGGGATTCCTTACTACAACTAAATGACAGACTCACATCTCCATAAGACTGATGACATGAAAAAGTATCACAATAATCAGTAGTGAAAAAAAAAAAAACAAGGATTCTTTTGCCATGTTCACACTGGACACGGAAGCGCAGTGATAACTGTGGCAAAAACAGTTGCGTAACTGCTCACACCAGATGCTCATTTCTCTGTGCCAGTCAGCAAGCAAGTCTGCTCCTCTGCTCTTTATAATCACAAGTAGAGCTCTGTCTGACAAAAATGTGAAATAAGTAAGCATGGAATGCATATTTTATAATTCATATGAATATGATCATTTAGATTATATATATCCTTTATATCGTTCTTTACAGATGATCAGTGTGTTTTCTTTGCAGATTTACTCCGAAACAACACTTTAGATTGCAACCAGCTGTGAAGCTCTGTGCTACAGTGCATATGCAATGTCAGGGTTCAATGCTAAGATTTTTTTTTCACTTGCCCGGTCGGGAAGTTGGTCAGAGATCTACTTGCCCAAAGTCAGTTTTTACTTGCCCTATAAAAATTGTTTAATTTAAGCGGCTATTAAATAACAAAGACTGCAGTTATTTTTATGTTATGTTATCT